GATGATAAGTCATATGTAGCAAAGGCTGGTCACCATGTCATGCAGGTTTCCACCTAGGCCTTAGTAAGGTTGGCAAGTCTTGGGCAGGAGGTTGCCCCCATGCCAAGGTCCCTAGCTTGACCCTGATGATGTCGCAAGTCTACTTCTACCGAGGTGCATATGGCTTGGCCCTAGTCGAGGTGGTTTTGGGCGCTCTTGTGTACAAGGTGCACCCGAGGTGAACTCAACCAACTTGGCAAAGGCATTTCACTGCCTACGTAGCGCTGAGATGTTATGCAATGGTTCAAAAGTGCCACGTGGCATCCTCTCATCACAAATACATACAAAATACAAGGTTTTGCATTGTACATATTTGTATTTATTCTCCTTCCAAAATGAGCTTTAAACTCTATTTGAGAAGAGTGTAAATACAAATATGTTAAGCACAAATACAAATGGAGCCTATATTTATGAACCATGCATATTTGTATATGCACTCTTCTAAAAAAGGAGCCTTATTAGACATAATGTTGTATTAGCATCGGTGCCTCTAGACCTTAGTGATAAATACTGATGCTGTGCAATCTGGCTGCTCCTAGCTGGAGGTGATTCGGCTTCCAGTAGACGGCGGACGAAGAGGATCTGCACAGAGAACCCGGGGGTGCTTACCCGACGAGGTCGCTCCGATGCTTAAGTCAGTATGTGCGAGCTGAGAGTAATTAAAGAGCAAGAGAGATAGTAAAAAGTAATTGCGTGTGTACCTTGGGCCCCTGGAGGGAGGCCTTTATATAATGGAATCCTCGTGGGCTTCGCGGAGTAGTTCCGAGATTATTGCCATGATAGAATCTGTTTCCGTGATAATTGGAGATAATATTATCAGTTGATAAAGGTTAATCACTTCCTCTCGAATCGGACAGGGAGATAATGCTTAGCTGTTACGAGGCATGACCCCGCAAAATCTAGGAACCGCTGGAGTGACTCTCGGGATTATAGAGGGCAGATCGGTATACTCGAGCTGGTTTCTACCTCGAACTAATGTTCTCGAGCTAAAGGTCGTACACCTCGAACTGATTTATGTACTGGTGCCGCGACCTGGTATCAAGGTGCCCTTAGCTCGGGATGATTTCAGCTCGAAGAACCCTTAGTTCGGGGAAGTGGGTCTTACCCGAGCTGCCTACGCCATGGGCATTAAAAGTACTTCGCCTATGCCGATGAGGCGACTAGGTCTTATATGGTGCCGAGGTCTTCTGTGAGCTCGGCACTTTTAGCCCTTAGGCTGAGGGAGCGACTCATAGTCCACTCTCCTTTGGAGTTCGCCCATGCCGAGGAGGCAACTAGGACTTATATGGTGCCGAGGTCTTTTTGTTAGCTCGGCGTCTTGGCCCTTAAGCCTTGGGGGGGCGACTCACAGTCTACTTGCCTTAGGTTGACGATGTTCCATACCCGAGGTACTTGTTTCCCTTCTAAGGTTTTGAGTTCGTACGTACCTTCCCCGAGCATCTGCTTTACTCGGTAGGGTCTTTCCCAATTCGGTCCGAGCTTACCAACAACGGGCTCAGGCACCATGACTTTACGAAGAACCAGGTCTCCAATGCGGAAATTCCGCTTCTTGACTCTGGCGTTATAGTACCAAGCTACTCTCTGCTGGTAGGCCACGGTCCTAATGTATGCGAGGTCCCGTGCCTCTAGACATAAGGTCGTGTTTGGTTTGCTAGCAAATAAAAGATAAAACAAAAGGTTGATGGAATGTTCTCAATAACTTCAAAAAAATTCATCGAGAATTTCCCCTCAAATTTCTGTTTATATCTAACCATGCACAGCCTAAGGCATATCATAGTTAAGTAATTCAGCATTATTAGGGAGGAAATTTGAATTGAAAACTGATTTTTGGGGTTAACTTAATTTGAACCCCCACACTTTAATTGTTATAACTTATGACAGTGTTTTGGCACTACTAATAGTAGGGGTGCAATAAATTTGAATGGATTCAACCCAAAAGCCTGGACCCAATAATGCAAAATTTTCAGCTTGGGTACCCAATTTGCATCTTGATCTATTTATTGGCTTAATTTGCAAGGAATACAAGTGCAAATATATATAATATAAATACATACAAAATAATATAAAATACAAAGTTTTGCATTCTACATATTTGTATCTAGACTCCTAAACTTAGCCTAAGTGTATGCAAATACTTGCATCTTAGGGGCAAAGGGAGCCATGCCCCCTCCCCGCCTTAAAAATCCCCATAGTACCCATTTAAAACTCTTTTAGATTTTGGCCCCTACCTATGCTTATTACCCTTTGCTCTTTCTATCCTTGCTTGCTAGCTTTTGGCTCCCATTAGTAAAAAATCCTAGCTCCGCCCCTACTTATAAGGATGCCTAGAAATTTGGTGTCTCATCCACTCGGTGCACCATTAGCCCTTCTGTTCTCAGCAAATCATTTCACCAAGTCTAGCACTGATTACAAGCTCCATGGAAACAACCATTCCGTTTTGCATTGCTGGATAAAGCCTAAGGTTATGTTTGGTTTGAAGGAAAAGGTAGGGAAATCCATACAAGATTTGTAAAGGTTTTCCTACCTTTCCCTTTCTTTTCCTACTTTTTCCTTCAAACCAAACACAACCTTAAGGTAAAGCCATTCCCTTTAAAAATAGCATCCTGCAGTCTCCATCCCTAACATGAAACCAACTCTTGGAAGAAAGGAAACCCATGTTCCATTTTTTTTTCCGTTTTCTTTAGTCAAATTCTCTCAGTAAGACATTTTCGGTGGAATAAAGAAGTATACAGGTTAAAGTAATGAGAAATTATTTAAGCATTCATAATTCAGCAATGGTTATACTTTTAAATGGAATAGAAGTACGAAATTGGATTCATGTAATAGGCCTTGTACACCATATAGTTGAGATAAGGCTTTGATGCCGATGATAATAAAGAATTAAAGAAGTAGATGTGCAATGAAAAGTGTAAAATAGAATGTTTAGAGAATCAGGCTGGGCATAGAAACGAAGAAGGGAGAGGTTCAACTGGGGTTGAACATAAATATTATAATATTTTTTATAAATCTTAATAAATTTAAGTATGGTAAATAGATAACAAGTTCATTCATTTTTAAAGCAAATGAGTAGAGTTTAAGTCTCTTAATTTATATTTTCTTTAAAATACATGCGTAATAAAGTAATATGTACAATAAAGAATCCTTAATTAATATAAGTAGAGAGGTGGACTAGTGGTAATTAAGCAATATATGGAAATAAGGGGTCATGGGTTCAAGCCTCATCAATTATTAAAGGACTTGGGCAATTTCATGAAATTGGGACTGGTTCACCAGTTTTCAATTAAACCATCCAATCAACCGATTTTCTCCAATTTTTATCAAAAGCGGTTATTGGGTATGACCGAACCAGCCAAGGTCCCAAGTTTATTGTCGTGGATGGAAAACATTGGTCTAAAGCAACCATTTTTCAATTGTACCCATTTTACTCTTATATCTATTAGTTTAGATGTAAATCTGTTAAAATATTCTCAAAAGAATATTTCAATTTTAAGGGAAAATTCCTTACCAGTACCCTGTACTTTGGCTCGAGTGACAATTTAGTCCCCGAACTTTAAAATGCGATAATTCAGTACCCGAATTTTCAAAATGTGACAATCTAGTACTCGGACTTTCAAAGTGTGACAATCCAATACCTACAGTTAACCAGTCCGCTAACCAGCTGTTAAGTGACATTTGAAAAGTCAAAAATGCCCTAACAATGTCATCTAATTCTCTTTATCAACCATCCAAACATTGACAATAAACTTAACAGTCCCAAATTTTAGATTCTTCTAAACAATCACCAACTTTTTTGAATAGAAGAGGCTAGGATTTGGGACTGTTCAATTTTTTGTCAACGTTTGAATGGTTGATAAAGAGAATTATATGGCATTCGAAGGGCATTTTTGACTTTTCAAATGTCACTTAACGGCTGATTAACGAACTGGTTAACGTCAGGTACTAGATTGTCACATTTTGAAAGTTCGGGGACCAAATTGTCACTCAAGCCAAAGTACATGATACTGATTGGGAATTTTCCCCAATTTTAATTAAAAATTCTCAATTATACATAAAAGAATAAAATAATTTTATTCAATAAAAACATTAAATCTAAAACAAATATAGCATTTTGAATTATATTGAAAGACGACCTAAGCCCCTAATAAATTGAAAAGGATAATTTCGTAACTTTAAAATCTCCATCGTTGGAACAAAGATGTAAATAGGTAATTCCAGGCTTTTATGAAACTAAAGGAGAGGTTTTTGTTAGAGTGAAAACCTCAGTAGAGGTTATTAACTTATTATAATTGTGAGTAGATCTGTTCATGGGCCGGACCGGGCTCGTGCCGGGCTTTCACTCTGTATTAACAAATTTTTCTAAGGCCCAAGCCCGAGCCCGAGCCCAAAATTTAGCCCATGCTGTTACTACTGCTGAATAGAGAGAGAGAGAAATTATAAAGAAAAAATAAAAATGTATATATTAAATTATAAATATATATATTTTAATAAATATTATATTATTTATATATTTTATATAATATATAAAATACACATTATGTATTTTATAAAATATATAATGTTGAATCGGGCTGGACCGGGTTTTGTTGACAAATCCTGAGCCCGGCCCGAAACACTATCGGGCTTACTGTGTTAGGCCTGAGGTCAGGCTTACGGGCCTAATTACATGACCAAGCCCGGCCGGGGTGCAGGCCAGGCAGGGCGGGCCATCGGGCTACCTGGCCCATGAACAGGTAGAAACTTGAGGGGAGATGTGTCGCCTCATCTCAAGTGAAGGACTCAAAGGGGTCGCAGGTGGCAACTTTGGACGTGGCGCAAATGATGGAGACTCGACGGTAATTTTCGGCGTGTCCCAACGCAGACGGTTCAAAGTGAACTGGGACAGCTTGATTTATATTTGCCATTGCCTATTGGTCAATTGGAAACCCAACCCATTTTACAACCCTTACTCGTTGTCCGTGGCAGTTATGCAGTTTATGAGAACAAGAGAGGCTTAAGTGATAACACCTGAGTTTTATTAATTCCAGAGAGAAACGACATGCCCATTGAGTACAAAATTGAGTATAAAAGGGCGGTAATCGCTAGAACCCGACGGAGATGGTTAAAAGTATTGAGAACGCGAGATTATTAGCTGACATGTCGATCTCCCAGTAAGAGATCTCGCGAGCTTCCAAGAAACCCATGAATTTCCAGGTTTTTGGTCGCTTTAGAGATTGGAGTTCCGCTTCATTTTCATTTTCTGCGGCCACTGGCGCTTAGGTTTTGGAATCGATCTTGCATGTTCCTATCTGTTTCATCCGGTTTTGTATATTTCGATCTGATTTCAGGTTCCGAGAGTTGATACGTTTGCGGCTGTATATAATTCGCTTTAGTATGAGATGTTGTTCCTTCTGAGATTCTTTGTTCGTGCATCAGATTATCGTTTTTGGTGAAGCTTCAGTTTCTGTTACGTCGTTTGGAGCTTGCAGGTATGAATTTGATATCATGTGATGTAGTTGAACTTGTTTCTTCATAGTATTTTCTTGATTGGGCATGGACTATTTTTCCCTTTGGGGGTTGAATTTATGAATCTGTTTGTTTACCTTTGGCCGATATGTGAAACTCGTGATGGTGATATTGAAAGACATTGCTGAACTACATTTGAACTACTCGATAGCTATTTTAAACATGAAATTTATGCGACCAATTAAGAAGCAACCATTTTTGCCTCCGAAATCCTTAGTTGTTAAGGAGTAGCCATTAAAAATGTGATTCACCTATTCTTGGATAGACGGCGATGGGTCCAACTTTTCTGTTACCTAGCCCCTTATCCCAATTATTTTGGTTCAAGTATATACAGGGGCTTAGATATATTACTCTTTTTGGGCCTGGGCTAAATTTATCAAGTTCACATTGTTTTCTGACAGGTTATGCATAGGAGAGGCTGAACACCCCCTTTAAAAGTTTTGTTTTTGGTTGCTGCAAGTGAACATGGCTTTTTTCCATGCAGCACCAGCATATGCATCATATACAATTCTTCATTTGGAAGGCTCAAAATGATGCTATTGCACACATTACAAAAATACAAAAATCATTTAAGTTCAGTTGCTAAAGTTATTTAAGATAGAAGACCAAAAGTAAATGATGCATTATACTTTTTCCATGACAGCATCCAGTAAACATCTTTTCTGATTGAAGTTCTCTTATATCTTTCCCACCATATGTGTGAGCATGTAGCAAAAGGAACAAGGTTCCAGAAATATTACCCCTCTTGCTGAAATCTCTTGCAATGAAAGTATCAATGAATGAGGAGGTTGTGCCGATGATGACCTATTGCTGCACAAATAACCTAATGAAATGCCACCAATCTTGCAATCAAAGTGTCACGGGGGTAGATCTGCAGCGGAAGAAACCCATGCCAAGGTAGGCCAGGACAAGCCTTTCGTGTGCTTAGGGATAGGAGTTGCCTGATGTGATGGCTCCACCAAGTTTAGTAACACTGGATCATGACCTCAGTTCGCATGGCCGGGGCACTGTGTTGGCTCCTTTCGGTCCATGGGAGGCGCCACTTACGTGCTAAAGGGGGATGACCATGATGAGAGGCGACTTGACACCGATGAGAGGGACTCCTGTATGCCGATGATGCTTGGCACCTGTGTGCCAATGATGATAGGCAACCACTGGGCTGGAACACACCCGTGCGCTATGGGCAATGGGATAGCTCATTCAGCTTAGGCAAGGGGCTGGCGTGGTGAAGGGTCATGCTTAGGCCAGGCCCGCATGCCAAGCCTCCCTTGAGTGTCGGTGGCACAGTGCCAGTCCATGCATTGTCCCCATGAGCATGTGTGCGCCCATGAGGAACCCTGGTAGCCATGCTAGTCATTAACTAGGGCTGCCCCGCAAGGGATGATGGTCTAGGAGTGCCAAGGTCAGGCACCCAAGGAGGTCGACCACCCCTCATCAAAGAGTACGTTAAACTTTTGGAGGTTTGCCTGAAGATAACATCAATTCTCCCAAAAATCTTACAGGCAAAAATGACGGTGATGTCCCTTAACGTAAGCCCGCCAAGCGTAGGCAAGGCTAAGCCTGTGTCAGACCGTGACAGGCTCCCCCACTTGATCCATTGTCGACCTCGATAATGGCTCCTTTGTGAATGGGCGTCTGTGTCTCGCGCCATCCACTTGTGTGCCAGTTCCTGGGCTCACCTGGCCAACCCGGGTCTCGCCTATGTTGGTGTCCATTTATGGGGATGGAACCATTTCACCATGCCGACCTACCTAGATTTCACCTCTAGTGTTGAGGTTACTCAAACCGCGCAATGGCTATGCCGTTGAAAGTGTGAAAGAAGGGCTCTCAAAGAAATTGGATGTGTGTGCTTCGCAGAGGTCCGCCCCATGTATCATCTTTACCTCAAGGCTTGACCGTCTTTGTGGTAGCTTTTCGGTGGTGCTACCGAACACAATGTGATAGGTCTACTCCTGCTGTTGGCAGTGTGTGCTGGATATCCTTTCACCATGCTGGCCTGCAGACTTCACCTCGCTGTGTTCGAGTTACTCAAACCTAGACATGGCTTATGCTCTTTTGGCCCTCGAAACTATACTTCACCTCGCCGGTTCGGGCTACATCTTCGCTTCGAGGGGGCCCCAATGTGTTGCTGGCTCAAGGAGATTTGATCGCAATGTGCACGAGTGGTGGCAACTTTTACCCATGATGTTGCCGAACATGCACTCGCCTTGTGATGTGTTGTTGCTGCCGCAAGTGTTCAACCTTTGTGATGAATTGAGCATGTCCTCTGATGCATTGCTTGTGCTGGGCCGCCATGCTCCAATGGCCAGTGTACCCACATTCCTATCATTCCAATATTGTGGCTTCAACCGAGGACCCATTTGATGCAAAACATGCACTCGCCTTGTGATTTGTTGTTGCTGCCGCAAGTGTTCAACTTGTGTGATGAACTGAGCATGTCCTATGATGCATTGCTTGTGCTGGGCCGCCATGCTCCAATGGCCAGTGTACCCACATTCCTATCATTCCAATATTGTGGCTTCAACCGAGGACCCATTTGATGCAAAACTGCCACTTTAGTGATATTCCTTGACCAACCGTCGACACAACCCAATTTCGGACTGCTGTCCCTTCCTCGGTATTGCCTCAGGCAAAGCTACGGAACAATGGCTCATCCATCATGAAACCAAGATGTAGGTGCACCGCCCACAACTCACTAAAATGAACAGCAACTGGTGTCCGTGAGGAAGCATGGCACTCCCCCACTCAAACCACCACAATATGCCTTCCACGAAAAGGACCATGCGTCTGCCCCCGCATGAGCGCAACGACCAATGCGTTTGCCCCCGCATGAGCGCAGCGACCAATGCGTCTGCCCCCGCAAAGGCATTGCTTTGGGGTCATTGGAACGGGGACACGATGAATGGCCTCTTGCCAGGCCTGATGTGAATGATTGGTTGCTTGTACCCGAGTGGAAGTGCCTAGGGACCGCACCCCACGATGTGCTGCTTGTCGAGATAACCGCTTCAACTGGCTCTGTGTGCTTTTGCTCTGATACCAACTACGGCAGCAGTTGGCTAGCTCGCTCTGATACCTACTGTCACGGGGGTAGATCTGCAGCAGAAGAAACCCGTGCGACATCCAGGCCAAGGTAGGCCAAGACAAGTCTTTCGTGTGCTTAGGGCTAGGAGTTGCCCGATGTGATGGCTCCACCAAGTTCAGTAGCACTGGATCATGACCTCAGTTCGCATGGCCGGGGTGCGTTGGCTCCTTTCGGTCCATGGGAGGCACCGCTTACGTGCTAAAGGGGGACGACCATGATGAGAGGCGACTTGGCGCTGATGAGAGGGACTCCTGTATGTCGATGATGCTAGGCACCTGTGTGCTAATGATGATAGGCAACCACTGGGACAGAATACACCCGTGCGCTATGGGCAACGGGATAGCTCATTCAGCTTAGGAAAGGGGCTGGCGTGGTGAAGGGTCATGCTTAGGCCAGGCCCACATGCCAAGCCTCCCTTGAGTGTTGGTGGCACAGTGCCGGTCCATGCACTGTCCCCATGAGCATGTGTGCACCCATGAGGAACCCTGGTAGCCATGCTAGCCATTAACCAGGGCCGCCCCGCAAGGGATGATGGTCTAGGAGTGCCAAGGTCAGGCACCCAAGGAGGTCGACCACCCCTCCTCAAAGAGTACGTTAAGCTTTTGGAGGTCTGCCTGAAGATAACATCAATTCTCCCAAAAATCTTATAGGCAAAAATGATGGTGATGCCCCCTCACGTAAGCCTGCCAAGCATAGGCAAGGCTAAGCCTGTGTCAGACCGTGACAAAAGGGCAATAAAGAAGATGCGTAATTGATTATTCTTGCGTGTTGCAGAAAGAAAACACATTTTTATATCTCTTCCATGGAAAGTGAAATGATCAATTGCTAGAATCTTGTCTAATGTGCAATCCAAATAAAAGGTTGAAGCCAGATGTTTATTTGGTACCCACGTCTATAGCCAAGGGAATGGCTGAATGGGGTATCAGGTGTTAAGGGCCCGCGAATAGGATATCGTCACAGGGGGTTAATAGGGCCCGCGAATAGGATATCAGGTGTTAACGGGGAAAACCTCCTGTTTTCCCTTGTTCCTCCCTTTTCTTGAGGAACCTATCTTGGCGCCTTAATGGTGATTGTTAAAGAGATCACCCCCTCTCCTCTGCTTTTCTTGACTGGAAATTTCGATGCCTTTATTGAATCATCAACTCCTTTAAATTGGAGATTACAAGAAGATAAGAGTCATACTTTTAGGAAGACTCCCTACTAATCTATACTACTGAATTTAGCTAAGATAGAAATAGATAAGATAAGAACACTGAACAGATAAGACTCCCTACTAATCCATACTACTGAAAACATATAAGATAAGAATACTGAGCAGATAAGATAGAACTGTATGTAGCTAGATAAGATGAGAACACCGAATCTTGCATCCTTTACTGCTGCTGTCGGCGGCGATATTGCTTCCTAATAAAAGCGTCCACAACATTACTCCCCTCCTGGACTAAGAGCTTGTCCTCAAGCTCGAATTCAGGATAGGTGTCTTGAAACACAATCAAAGGAATCCAGGATAGGTGGAATGATTTTGCCCTCCTGGATCGGGTTCCAATGAAGAGGGTTCATCCTCATCTTCCTCTTGTTCCACCAGGAGGCAGAAAAGTCTCTTGCACTTGTGCCCTGCTGAGTAGAGTTCATCACAATTAAAACACTGTCCCCTCGCCCTGCGTTCCGCCATCTTAGCCCTGGACAAGTGCTTAATAGGGGGTGCAACAACGCTGCTCCCACACTGGATGCCGATCTGGAATTGTTGCTCGTCTGTGGTTTCTGTTCTTGGCTGGCTGCTGAAGATGGAGCCATTCCGAGTGGTTTTGGGGATGCCCATGCTGTCAGAGGCCGCCCTATACTAAAAGTTCCGCGGCTGAGTTGCAGCTTGCGTTCAAAAGCGCGAGCCAAATTCATAGTAGTAACTAGGTTGGGAGGATTTTGCATCTCCACATCCACCCTCAAAGTTTCTGCTAACCCTGCGGTGAACATGTCAACCTACTGGTCTGGTCGTACCGATGATGCTCTTGCAAGGAGGGTCTGAAACTGACGCTGATATTCAGCCACCGTTCCCGTCTGTTTGAGGTTGATTAGTTCGCCTAATGGATTGCTTGTTAATGGGGGCCCAAACCTGAGAAGGCAGTAGGATTTGAATTGGGTCCAACTGAGCCCGGGTTCCTCCTGCTCCAATCTATAAAACCAGAGCTGCGCCTCCTCCGTCATGTGGAATGCGGCTAAGCTTACCTTGTCTTTGTCCTCTGTCCGTTGGTTGCGGAAGAACTGCTCACATCTGTACAGCCATCCTAAAGGATCTCCAGCGCCATTATAGGAAGGGAACTTCAGCCTGCTGTATTTGGGAACGATCGCGGCTCCTTGGGCAACGACCTGCTGCTCGCCGGACGATTCTGCCATGTCTGGTCGGTGGCCGTTTGTGGTTGCAGCCCCTCTGGATTCCTTTCCTTGCTAGAAAAATATAACTCCATGCTGTTTCCCACGAGCTTGTGCTCCAGTTCATGAAACTTAGTCATCAACTGCTCAAGGTCACCCATGACACCTGGCTCTGATACCAGATTGTTAAGGGTCCGCGAATAGGATCTCGTCACAGGTCGGTCAACGGGGAAAACCTCCTGTTTTCCCTTGTTCCTCCCTTTTCTTGAGGAACCTATCTTGGCGCCTTAATGGTGATTATTAAAGAGATCACCCCCTCTCCTCTGCTATTTCTTGACTGGAAATTTCGATGCCTTTATCGAATCATCAGCTCCTTTAAATAGGAGATTACAAGAAGATAAGAGTCCTACTTTTAGGAAGACTCCCTACTAATCTATACTACTGAATTTAGCTAAGATAGAAACCGATAAGATAAGAACAATGGACAGATAAGACTCCCTACTAATCCATACTACTGAAAACAGATAAGATAAGAACACTGAACAGATAAGATAGAATTGTATCTAGCTAGATAAGATGAGAACACTGAATTAGATAAGATGAGAACATCGAATCTTGCATCCTTTACTGCTGCTGTCGGCGGCGATATTGCTTCCCAATAAAAGCGTCCACAACATCAGGCCCATTTAGAAGCAAGAAGAAATTGGATTGCCTGATTGATAGCATCAACTAGTTTCTTTTTTCATTTGATTGGTAACCTTAAATTTTATTAATAGAAGAAAAGAAAAATTGTGGTAAGGAACCTAGAGGAAGGGGAAGCGATAAAGAACAAGAACAAACCAAGTCCAGGGATAAACAAAAAATTGTTAGAAGAGGAAAGTGAAATTAAGAAAGGCAAAACCTTTTCTGAGGAGAAAATACAAGGTCTAGTCTAGGATCTGAATTCCACATTTAAGACATCCCTATCAACCCTACTCCTACTCTAGGATCTGAATTCTTTTGATCTGCTCGATGCTGACAATTACTTGGAATTTAATACAATCCCATCACTCAACAATATTCATAAGTTCCAAGAACAAATCAGATTGGTCTCATTTGATAGTTGCTTATCTAATGAATACCACAATCAAGTTAAATGTGCAATTTCTGGCTCATAGAACATAGGCTGCAGAAAAGCGACAAACATCTAAAAACACTTATATAAGACTTTTAAACTATGATTCCTTAAACAAACTAAGCATCCAAAATGTAAAATTAGGAAATTTGGAAAGCCTTCTGGGCAGTTGTATTCATAGCAGTCATGTGAGCAGGAAAGGAATGGTAAAAATTTTTATCACAAAATTAATTTAGAGGAGCCAGTAATCATCACTGCAGTGGATCTTATAAGGAGCTGGATTTCAAATCTGAAATGTTTTAGTGAGGAGGAATTGTCTTCTTTTTTGAAAATAGACTTTTTGGGCGTCCTTAGTATATGGTGTACAGAAACTCTTTGTATAGAGGACCTTGTATGCTTTTGCTTTTATATTAATACAATGATACTTTACCTTTAAAAAAAAGGAAATTGTGAGGGAGAACTTCATTTCATCCTCTATGGTTTTTCCCTTTTGCCATAGTTGTATCAATTTGTTCTTTTGATCTGCTTGATGCTGACAATTATTGCCTTCATGTCTGACAAAGAACCATTAGAGGAAATATGTTTTTGAAGGGAAAACATTTGATTCTTTATTATTCTTTTTCTTTGGTTAAAGAGTAAAGAAGCTTTATTTCCTGGTCGTGAAAAGGCATGTGCGTTGCATGTCTTTCAACAAATGGAGAAATATTGATTGGGCTTTATACATCTTATGAAATATATTGGTTGTCGCATTGATGTGAGGCCGATTGAAAGTTTTGGCATTATATAGTAAAGATGATTTACTTGGGTATTTAATGGCTAAATGGTGGCCAATACCCAATGTTGGTTCCAGCTATTCAGGGTCTTGAGTTAGTTTTACAGGATATGGACCTTACTCAATGCCTGTGATTTATATGGACTAAATCGTATATATTATATAGTGCTAGATACCTAGTTTACCTTTTTGCCAAAATATGATTCACCTATTATTTTTAATGGCTTATATAAGCTTGTTGCTAAATTACCATCTATATGTGTGTACTCATGTTTGTACTAGTCATTTCTGTTTCTATCCATCTCTCTGCCTGTCAATTCCACTTATAATCTACCATTCTCATCCATGGATTTAAGTTAAGTTTTTTTCCTAGTAGGACCACTATGGTTACTTCTTTTATTGGTGAGGGTGGAGATAGTCCAGCTATATTGCAGTTGCGAAGATGGGACCCCTCTCAAATCCAACTAAACCTGTCAGAATTCCGTGAAGCTTTTATTTCTCCCACAAGAGAATTGTTACTGTTGTTATCTTATCAATATGAAGCTTTGCTTCTTCCACTGGTTGCAGGTAAAATTCCCGACCTCTCCTGCCTTTTCCTTTACAGTGATTTGATCCTTGCCTCCACCTTTGTTCTCATCTCTCTCACTTTAAGTGAATGCAGGAAATTCTACAAAGAGGAATAACCATTTGAAAGGACTTCAGAGCCCTAGTTTTTCTGATTTCTGTTCTACAGAACAGGAAGCATCTTGCATATCAGATTCATTAGACAGTATTCCATGCACTTCTGAACCTGAAAAAGTTACTCCAGATGGATCATCAAGATCTGAGCACTACCCTGTTGCTTGTGATGTGAAATCATTGGCTTGGGGTCACTGTGGGGATTCATACAACCAACACAAGGGTGCTATTTTTAAAGAGCTTCTTTTTGTATCTGGTGACCGTGGTGTTACAGTCCATGCCTTTCGTCAGCCAGATAAAACCAGTGAAATGATCTTGCCTGAGGATGAGGTTGGACAAGGGAGGTGGGTGGAATGGGGGCCTTGTGCTGCCTCACTTAATAATTTGCAGGCAAAAGAGCAGTGTGGTTCAAATTATGAAAGTCCTAGAATTTTCTCAGAAGCAAGCAAGGGTAATGCAACTGATAAAACCTTTCAAGATGTCTGCATAGAATCTGGGGATAATGATTTGCTCTCAATAAGCTCTACATCAAAGAAATGGCTGCGGACTTTCTTAACTGAAGCTGATACTACTGAATCTGATGGTCACTTTTGGACCAAGTTTCCTGAAAAGCAGTCATTTCCTTGTTCTGCAGAGATAGTTTCATTCAATATTGTTGATAGCACATCAAAATTCTTGGAGTTTCTATCTCGTACAAAACCTGTATCGGATGTTAAGGGAAATTGGATTGAGGAAACACCATTACATCCTGTGGCTGATGCATCAGTACATTCAGAAACCAGTTCTTTGAGTCTAAATGCCAATAGCTTGCCCAGAATCTTGAGCCTAGGGACCAACAATTCATACAAATGTTCTAGAGTGTTTGCCAGCTCTTCTCATCGTTTGGTTGGTTTGGTTTTGACAATAACAGATCCTGTATTAACTGATACTAGTGGTAGAACTGCAAGAAGTAGGGAGGTTTTATTGGTGGTTACTATGATACACCACTGGGGAATACAGTGGATTTGCTCAGTAAAACTTCAGCAAACTTGTCTCAATCTGGATCTTGAGATTGAGTGGACTGACTTTCAGTTTTCCAGCAATCTTCTTTTTTGTCTCAATGTATCAGGTTTAATATTCATCTATGGTGCAACAACTGGTGCATTTGTTGCATGTCTTGACGTTTTGCAGATCTGTGGACTCAAGCCAAAATGTAAGTTGTCAGGACAAGCAAAATTGCCTGCAGAGGATAATTTTACCCCTGGAGGTGCTGATATACAAAGAGAACCAGATAAAAAAGTTAATAGTGCAATAGATCACCAGATTGAAGGGTATTCACGTGGTACACGAGTTTTTGAAAGGTTGATGGTTGCTTCAGATTCTTCACTGTTAGCTTCTGTAGATAAGTATGGTGTAATCTACCTAATTTGTGTCGATGACTTTATTTCTGACAATTCTTATTCTCTTAAGGAGTTTCTCCCGCATTTTGGGTATGGTTTATTGGTTGGCTGGGAGGTTGGAGGTTCTGAATTAGGCTGTCAGAGAGTGTTTTCTAAACTCTCACATTGTCATGGTTTGAATAGCTCATTATTAAAAAATAAGAGTTTCCTCTTCACTGATAATAGGGAAGATATCAGGCTCCTCGATAAGAAAAAATGCTACATCTGGAGGAGGGTAGGCCAGTATGGTGACTACATGAGTGGTTTCTCTGCTGTGTCACAGATAGAGGATCAGGGATTCCCCAGTTCTCAATTAGCATTGAGCTCAATGCGAAGAATACTAATTCCCAATGATGTATCAAATAAATATGATTCCATTTGTTTTTCACCCTTTGGAATTACTCGGCTCATTAGGAGGTGCAATGTAAATGATAAGAATGGCTTTAAAATTGTTCATAGTAACTTACAAGTAGCTACTGCAATTCAAGATGACCGAGTTTTGGACTTGCAGTGCACAAGGTCTGGTTTGCTTGGAAGGGAGGAGGCCTTGGTTGGAGAAGCAATTGGTTGCTCTTTCCAGGGATGTTTCTATTTGGTGACACAAGATGGATTGTCCATTGTTCTTCCCTCTATTTCAGTTTCATCAACCATCCTTCCTGTAGAATACATTGGGTATTGGCATCCAAATATTGTCACAGGCAATAAATATAACCTAGAATGCCTTTTGGCAGGAAATAAGGAGCACTGGCCACCTTGGAAAGTTGAAATCTTGGACAAAGTTATTTTATATGAAGGCCCTGAAGTGGCAGATCACATCTGTTTGGTAAATGGTAAGAATACTTGATTTTGATAGTTTTCATGTGATCCTTAATAGCTTGTTATCTTGGAGCCTTATTATTCATTGAAGAACAGTTTTTGATTGATAACTATTATCTTTCATTTTTTTTTTGATAAGTAAAATGGAGTTTTATTAAGGGGTTCGACTATGATATGGAAAAGATATGATATCTGAAAAACTTCTGACCAGTCAAGTAGAATCATAAACGTGGTAGCCAATCAGGTGTTATTTATCAAAATTCATGGGTGGGTTTTGATTGGTCAAAACTCTTCCCATACCATATCTTTCCTGCGTCATAGATTTTCCCTTTATTAAGAGATAATAAAATACATACAAGCGCCCTAAAGAGAGGTGTGAGGTACACCATTCATAACAACAAGCAACAATAAAACAAAAAGAGACAGGTAACAATTGCCCAATGAAGATGATCCATATTAACTGTTATCTTTCATGAAATACCAAAAAAGAATTAAATATGTACAAATATACCAAGCATCCCATTTTTTAGGCTGACATCTACCAGACTACCACCTAACCAACTCTTGTTATCTATTTACATTACATTCTTCAATAATTGTCTCCAAAGTAGCTGATCCCTATTGACTCCCTTGTTTGGATAATGCATAAGCTGCATTATTTGCTGCTAATGGATCCAACAAAAAACTAATTTCTGCTTCCCTTGTCATAGCTTTTATCATCCTCATTATGCTCTACTATCGTCATGATCCTGGCTTGTTATTTTTCATCCAATCCACTACCACTCTAGAATCTCCTTCCACCTTTAGTGATCTAATATTGAGTGTCTTCTCAACTACTATCCTTTGTAACACTGCTGGCAGCTCAACCCTTGCAGTCCCCATGACCAATGAGCATGGAGTAAATCTCTAGAATGGGTTCCTGACAGTCTCTGAATACCCCCCTCTTATGACTGGAGGTCCTGGATTTCCCATGCTACTGCCATCGAAGTTTAATTTGATTTGATCACCACAAGGCAGATGCCAATGCAAGGAGGCCCTTGGTCTAGCTGTAGAGGAAGAAGCCACCCACTCCAAACCATCAACAGTGTTATAATTCAGGTCTGCCTTAGAGTTTGGCCTGACTGAGTTCAGTTATGTAGAAGAAGAAAAAGTGATAAAGAAAGAGAGAAAGAGAGAAAGAGAG